GCAGTAGTAGGTGGCCGTGTCCTCCACCTTGAGGCTGTTCATCTGCAGGTAGACGCTGCTCTGCCCGTTGTCCCTGGAGATGGTGAAGCGGCCCTGCACCGCATCCGCGTAGCTGGTGCCACTACCACCGCTGTTAATATAGGCGACGAACTCGGGCGCCTTCCCGGGCGGTTGTCGGAACCACAACATGGCGGAGCTGCTGAAGGTGAAGCCGGAGCCCTTGCAGGAGAGGCGGAGGCTCCCGCCGGGCGCCTGGAGGCCGGCCCCGGACTGGACCAGCTCCATGTGGGGAAGGAGAGGACACGGAAGGGCCCCTGGTCCATGGACACAGAGCAGGGAGGGAACCGCAGAGTCACCAAAGGGTTGAGGTTGGAAGGGGCCTCTCGAGATCATCTGCTCTGCTCAAGCGGGGACACTACAGCACGTGGCATGGGGGGGCCTTTTTTTTGAGTGGTGTTTTGAGCGGAAAAGTGCCATTTCTGAGTGAAAAGTTGCCCTTTGGAGCAAGAGATGTGGAGTTATGGAGTGAAAAAGTGGCATTAATGAGTGAAAAAGGGGCATTTCTGAGTGAGAACTGGCACTTTGGAGCAAGAAAAATGGCCTTTTGGAGAAAAAAGTGGCATTAATGAGTGAAAATGTGGCATTTCTGAGTGAAAAGTGGCACTTAGGAACAAGAAAAGTGGGGTTTTGGAGAGAAAAATGGCATTTTGGTGCAAAAAGGTAGCATTTTGGAAGGGAAATGTGGTATTTTTGAGTGTAGAAGTGCCATTCTGGAGAGTAAGAGACATTTCTGAGAGAAAAGTGTCATTTTGGAGGGGGAATAGCACCTGTTGGAGTGGAAAAGTGGCATTTCTGAGGGAAAAAGAGACATTTTGGGGGAAAAAAGTGGCATTCTTGAGGGAAAAGAGGCATTTTGAAGCAAGAAAAGTGGCTCTTTCCAGCCAAAAAGTAGCATTTAGAAGTGAGAATAGCAGCTGTTGGAGCTATTTCTGACCGAAAAAGTGTCATTTCTGAGTGAAAATTGGCATTTTTGAGTGAAAAGAGGTACTTGGGAGCAGAAAAGTGGCATTTCTGAGGGAAAAAGTGGCATTTGGGGGAAAAAAGAAGCATTTTGGAGTGAAAAGCTGGCATTTCTGAGTGAGAAAGTGGCATTCTGGAGCAGAAAAGTGGTATTTTTGAGTGAAAAAGTGCCATTTCAGAGAGGAAGAGAGCCATTCGGGGGCCAAAAAGCGGCATTTTATAGTGAGAATACCACCTGCTGGAGCTAAAGAGGGGCATTTCTGAGTGAAAAAAATGGCGTTTTTGAGTGGAAGGGTGGAATTAAAAAGCGGAAAAGAGGCATTTTTGAGGGAAAAGTGGCATTTTGGAGCAAAACAAGTGGCATTTAGGAGCAGAAAAGTGGCATTTCACAGCAGACATCTGACCATCCCCGGGGACAACGGGCAGAGCAGCCTCTACCTGCAGATGAACAGCCTCAAGGTGGAGGACACGGCCACCTACTACTGCGCCAAACGTTTTGATAGTGGTTGTGGTCTCTGTGCAGTCCCCATTGGCCAATGTCATTGGTGGAGCTCCCTTAACCGCCTTGAGCAACTCATGGACATCCTCAACCATGGGTGCCTCCCATTGGGCTCCTGGTCTCCAGCGGGATGTCTGTGACCACAACAACCAGCACCAGCAGCACTAGCACTTTTGGCGCAGTAGTAGGTGGCCGTGTCCTCCACCTTGAGGCTGTTCATCTGCAGGTAGAGGCTGCTCTGCCCGTTGTCCTTGGAGATGGTGAAGCGGCCCTGCACCGCACCCGTGTACCAGGTGCTACCATCGGTGTTGATACCCGCGACCCACTCGGGCGCCTTCCCATGCGGTTGACGGAACCACTCCATGGCGAAGCTGCTGAAGGTGAAGCCGGAGCCCTTGCAGGAGATGAAGGTCCAAGGGGCACATGGAGCTGGTCCAGTCCGGAGGAGCCTCCAGGCGCCCGGCGGGAGCCTCCGCCTCTCCTGCAAGGGCTCCGGCTTCACCTTCAGCAGCTTCTTCATGTGGTGGATGCGACAACCGCCCGGGAAGGCGCCCGAGTTCGTCGCGGGTATTGACTACGATGGTGATTCCTTGGTGCTGCTGGTTATAGTGCTGCTTGTAGAGACCCTATTGGGCAATGTCATTGCTGGGCCAATCTTGGTCTTCTTGGTCAGCCCATGGCCATCAGCGCCCATGGGGACATCCCATAAGGGTCTTGGCTACCAAAAGGGTCTCCCACGATCAGCCCAATAAGCACCAGCACCAGCAGCGGGCACTTTGCCACAGTAGTAGGTGGCCGTGTCCTCCACCTTGAGGCTGTTCATCTGCAGGTAGACGCTGCTTTGCCCGTCGTCCCTGGACGCGGTGAAACGACCCTCCACCGCCGGTGCGTAGGTGGTGCTGCTACCACCGGGGCTGAAAACCTCGGGCGCCTTCCCGGCCGGTTGACGGATCCAGCCCATGCTGAAGCTGCTGAAGGTGAAGCCGGAGCCCTTGCAGGAGAGGCGGAGGCTCCCGCCGGGCGCCTGGAGGCCGCCCCCGGACTCGACCAGCTCCACGGCCGCCTGCAGCCCTGCGGGGAAGGAGAGGACACGGAATCAGCGTCATTTCGGTGCCATCCGCGGGTCCCCCCTCTTTGTCCCCTGCCCCGATCGCCCTACCCGGCAGGGCGGCCAGGAGGACGAGGAGGAGGACGAGGCCGCGTTGCCCGGAGCTCATGGTGGCTTCGATGGGGCGGACGCATTTGGTGGCAGGAGGTATTGGGCGCCCTTGGGTGTCGCTGCTCTTGAGGTGGCTCCTCTGGAGGTAGAACTTGCCCAACGGTCTCTCCCGTAAGGCTGGTGTTCTTTGTGGAGACCCTGTTGGCCAACGTCATTGGTGGGGTTCGCTTGACCGCCTAGAGCACTTCAAGGCCATCATTAACCATGGGTGCCTCCCATCACGTTCCTGATTTCCAATGGGGTGTCCACCAGCACCACCAGCTTTCTTGGCGCAGTAGTAGGTGGCCGTGTCCTCCACCTTGAGGCTGTTCATTTGCAGGTAGACGCTGCTCTCCCCGGCGTCCCTGGAGATGGGGAAGCGGACCTG